GATTATTTTAAGAATGGTGTCTGTGTGGTGCAAGGGGTTATAGGAGTTCCCTTCCATGGTTAGTAGAGAGTACATTTCCATCAGGGAAAAAGACAACAGAAAAGCAGAATGGCAAATAAAAGTGTGGCAATCAATACTCGGCTATTAATTGCTTCTGGTCTTGATTGATCTGAACCCACTTCAGACATGTGTGAGCAGAAAATCCATCTCAAAGTGGTAAACTCTGGGTATTTCATTGAGAATCTGGAAAACAAACGGAAACTGCAGATAAAAGAATCATTGGATCATTGAATCATTGCAGTTGGAAATTAAAAATTCATCTAAATTCATCCGGTGTGACAATCTCCAGTACTGCCAGGGCCACCACTGTCCCTGTCCCCAAGTGTCACATCCACAGGGCTTTGGGATCCCTCCAGGAATGGAGACTCCACCACCATCCTTTCACTGAAGAAATTTATCCCAAAATCCGACCTAAACCTCCCCTGGTACAATTTGAGGCCGTTCCCTCTCCTCCTGTCCCTGTTCCCTGTGATGAGATCCCAAATCCCCCCCTCCTGTCAGGGAGTTGTGCAGAGCCACAAGGTCCCCCCGATCCCCTTTTTTCCAGGTTTTTTCCCCTTTCCCAGCTCCCTCAGCCACTCCTGGTGCTCCAGACCCTTTCCCAGCTCCATTCCCTTCCCTGGACATGCTCCAGCCCCTCCAGGTCCTTCTTTCCATGAAGGTCCAAAAACTGAACACAGGGATTGAGGTGGGGCCTCATTATTATTATTATTATTATTATTATTATTATTATTATTATTATCATCATCATCATCATCATCATCATCATCATCATTGTTATTGTTGTTATCATTATCATTATTGTTTTGTTATTATTGCTATTATTGTTATTATTATTGTTATTATTGTTATTTTTATGGTGTTATGGTAGTGTTTTGTTGTTATTATTATTATGTTTAAAGCATTCATTTTTTACAGTGCCACCTGCTTTTTCACATTTTCCATTTTTATGGCCAGGTTACAAATACCTGACCTTTGTTAAAACACAGCACTCTTGCCCAATCCTGTTTGTCCTTTTTGGCAGAAAAATTTCCTCTACCACTCAATCCTCAATTTTTCTGATCTACTCAAGGCAGGATTTCCTGACCCTTGTGCACCACCCCTGCTGTGCCAAACCCTGCTGCTGTGGGTGCTGTTGGCACAATTTCAAAAAAAAAACAGAAAAGGTGAGTTGAGTGCTTAATGTCCTCCATGCAGAACCCTCAGATTTACCCATGGACTTCAAAGGGTGATATATTAACATAATGTCCCATTAATGTGTGATTATTTATGGTGATATCCTTTTATCTGACTGGTGTGGTTCCCAWCAGCAGCAAGGCAACTGTGGGATTTGTAGCCAGCCCGACTGTCATCTCCAAGACCAGATTTGATTCATGGTCTCATTTCCTGTTTTTTCCTCCCACTGCTCACAGACTTTTTTTCCTTCTCCATGGTCCATTTATTAAATGTAGAGTTGGAAACACAATTAGAATTTACTCAAGTCTATAATGTCTGAATATTAAATCTTCRGAGCAATAAAAATTCTTTCCCAAATGTTTCTTATCTGTGTTTTCTCTTTGCCTAATGAACTCAGGCCTAATTACTGAATGAGTGACCAAAAAGGCAGGACCTGATTTGATCTTTTYTGAGCAGTGACTGTGTGAATAATCCTAAAATTGTCAAACACACATAAAGGCCCTCTGGTCCTAAATTAAGTTTCATTGCAGCATCCAGAATCTGAGCTACCTTTAGGGATGACTCCTCATCCATTCCTCAATGCAATAAAATATTAATTAAGATGGTTGTGGTCATACAGAACACTTTGTGTGTTGGATTTTTTGTCCAGAAATTCTCACTTGAACTATGTTTAGGGATGATTCCTCATCCATTCCTCAAATAAAATATAAATTAAGACGATTGTGGTCATATAGTGCACTTTGTGTACAAGATTTTTTTCCAGAACTTTTCT